GGAGGCCGAAGCGCAGGGGAGAGGGAGCGAGTGTCCCCCCCACGCCGGGCCCAGGGGGGCTCTTACCTGCTCCGCGCTGCTGCGGGCTGCGCCGGCGGCGGGGCCGGGAGCGGGGCCGGGAGCGGGGCCGGGCGGCAGGAATGCGGGAGCGCCGCTCGCTCCGGAGTCCGCGCACGGAGCCAGGCGCGAGCGACGGGAAAGTTTATGCAAGGGAGGAGCACAAAGTTGGGAGTCAATCAGGAGGCGGCGGGGCCGGGCCCTCCCCCGGGCCGGCCCTGCCTCCCGCCCGGCCCCGGGCCCGGTTTCGCCCTCGGCCGCCCCGCGGCCCCGCGCGGGTGATGGGCGGCCGAGGGGCCGCGGCGGCGTCGTGTCCCGCCCCCCCGCCGCCACTGTCGCCGGGTCCGCATCCCCCGCGGGCTGCCCCGCTGCTGAGCTCGGGCTTGGAGGGCGACCCGGCCCCCGCAGCGCCCTCTAGGAGCCTTCATCCTCATCATCCTCATCATCCTCGGCCTGCCCTGCTGGCTGTGCCCCCCTGCCGTGCGCTGCCGTGGTGGACACGGCTCTGCCCCACAGAGTTTTCCACTGTGTGCCCTCGCCCCTGAGCCTGCCTCGCTCTGTGCACACCCTCCTCCTCATCCCCCTCCACACACTCCTCAACCTTGTGTCTTCATCCCCATCCTTCTGCCTTCATCACCGTCTGCACACCCCCATCCTCGCCTTCCTCCCCCTTATCACGCCCTCATCCCCATCCTCCAGTACACAGCCTCATCCCCACCCTCATGGCCTCCTATTCCTCTGCACGTAGTGCCCAGGAAGGCTCTTCAGCCCCCACAGTTCCCCTTTCCCAAGGGAAAAGTGGCTGGGCGCAAGGCCAAGGAGACCTCCTTGGAGTGAGCTGAGGGCAGCTGGAGCATCACAGAAAGGCGACTGTCCCCCCTCACCATGGGCATGGGTGACAGGGACCGGCTCCCCGGCACCCTGGTCAGACAGTGGATGCTCTGGGCAGCCGCATCCAACGCACGTTTTCCTGATTTTCCTGCTGGGACAACTTTCATGGACAAGGCATTGGAGGCCACGAGCTCCCTGACACCTGGCACTTTCAGCACCCTCCGATGGGGAATAAACCACCACAACCCCCAGCGCTGGGCGCCAAGAGGCCAAACCCGCCCTAGGAACAGCGGCAAAATGGCTCCGATTTTCCGTAGGCCCTTCGGGAGCCGGCGTTACTCATCCCTTACTTGGGCAAAAACGACATCAGCTTCTCCCGGAGATGACAGTCCTAATTGAGTTCAATCGGAGTTTGGGCTGAGTAAGGCATGAGCCAACACGCGTGCGTCGGGCCGCGGGGAAAGCGCTCGGGAGCCGCGAGCTCCGCACCGGCAGCGCCAGAGCCGCGAGCCCGGCTCCCTGCTTCGCTTGCACCCGGCGCATTTTGATCCCCCCTTTCCTCCCTCCTTCGGGAGTCCTCGAGCCGCCTTTGGGCTCTTCCCTGTGCACTTGGTGGGAACAGCGACTTCCCTTCTCRCTTCACAGTATAAAAGAGCTGCAAGCGGCAACGCCATAAATAATATTTGCTCTCGGCCGGCACATGTGAGCTYGGGCAGCAAACCAAGAACAGCTACGACGCTGTAAAACGCCGACACTTCCCCACCACGGCTTCACTAATTAAAAGCCCATTCCTTCTCAAAAGCGGCTGGAAAACATGGGCTGGGCCGCTATGGATGCATGGAGATCCCATGGCTCCCGCCAGGACCTTCCCAGTTATGGGAGCTGGGAGCCCAAATCCCCTGTGAAGGCCAGCAAGTGCACACTGCGGGAGCCGGCAGCCCTGCGGGCCCCTTCGGGATGCCTCATTTGGCATTGGAGATGGGATGGGTGTTTTTTCCCCACCAAATATTCTTTTTTTTTTTTTTTTTATTTTTTTGCAAAAATCTTGCAGTTTCGCATTTTGCATCCCAGGCAAATCCATGCTGTGTCCCTGCAGCATGCGAGCAACACAGCCCCATGCGGGGCTCCAACCCATCCCCACACCGCCTGCCTGCATGGCTCCAACTCCAACTTTTCCCCCCCTGGCAAACCGCCCAAGCCTCCCGCTCTGCCCTCTGCTGCCCCAGGGCCACTGTCATCCTCTGGCAGCGGGAAAACTGCTCCCGGTGGWCGCTGGAGCCGCAGGGCTCTGCGCGAGCCGATAAGGCTGCCGCCGGGGCCGGAGCGGCACTCGCAGCGAGCATTCCTCTCCCGCCCACGCGTGCGGCCCCGCTGCGCTCATTGGCCTGCCCGTGCATCCGTCACGCTTCCCGGCGCCCAAACTGGATGCACATTGCAACGGATGAGGGCTGGAGCCCCAGGAGCTGCTCCACTGGTCCCAGTCCTTCCCAAGGCCGCACTGGGTTCGGGCCAGGCTGGTGCGGGCGACGCGACGCGGGCTGCTCGCTTGCACCCTCTCCTCACTCCCCCGGGTGCTCGCTGGAGGCTGCGCTCTCCTATGGATGCCGCTTTTGGGGTGTGTTTTGTGGTTGCCCTTGCTGCGACAGCGGGAGTTGGGAATTTGGGGGCGGGTTGCAGGGAGCAAGAGGTAAAACTGTGGAGATTTGGCGGGGGGGCTGCAGGGACAGGAGCCCGTGGTCCACGAGCGGGGACCAGCACAGGGGTGCTCATAGAGATCTGCTTCCTTCAGCGTCCCTGGGTCCGGATCGGCCCTCAGACACTGCCCAGCCAAGGTCTGAGGGGCCCCCAGGAGCCACCAGAGAAGATGCTGGCCACCAGTTGGCACCAGCTGCCCGGGTCCCTGCGAGCTGCATCCCCCCTCCCGAGGCCAAGATGGGACCCCCATCTGCCCAGGGGGCCTCGTCGTGTTCCACCAAATTCCCACTCGGAGGTTGCCGGCACCGACCGTGCCGCCCATCCCTGACCTTGGGCAGAGTCCGGGGTCACCATCACATGTGTTTTGGGGACAAAAAAGTGCAGCCTGAAGGAAGCTGCCCACCCATTGCCTTCCTTAAGTCCTAGGGCATCCAGATCCAAACCCCCCACAAAAAAAGCAGAAGAAATAGATAAAATCAAGCAAGGGCAGGATGTTCTTCCAGGATTCACTTCCAAGAAATGTCTCAAAGGGATGAAATCAGGATAACAGGCAGCTCATCTGCTAAATATACCCCGGGGCCGAGTGCGCCCGCGGCCGCCCGTCCTTCCCTGGCTTGTCCGGGTGGGAGGACGGGGCCGCGCGGCAGAGCCTTGGGGCCCTCTGCGGGGCTGCCCGGGCAGCTCTATGCCCCTCGGGGTGCCTTCTCCAGGCAGGAAGCGGCCAAGCAGGGAGCCRAGGTGGTGAAGGGCAGGCCGGGTGGCATCGCGGCGCGATGCTGGCTCTGGCTACTCGCAGGCCAGCTTGCCGTCGAAGCTGGACAGGGCGATGGCGAAGGCCTGCACAGCGCACAGCGGGTAGTTGTAGTCCATGGTGAAGGCGTCTTCGGCCACGCGCCCRAACTGCATCACGATGTAGTCGGCTGCGGGATGGGGACGGTGGCTGTGGCACCCGCCTTGCTCCCAGCCTTTGCCCACCCAGCCTTCAGTTGGGGATGCAATGCCACCCATGCCCCCAGGACCCTGGCCACTGTCCCAAACCCACCACCCTGAGGGCTCCGGGCTTTGCAGCCCAGTGTTTTACAGCCCATTTTTCCCAAATGCCACCGTTTCCCATYGCAACTGAAGCAGGACGCTGTCCCCGGCCATCCCATTCCCATGGCATCAGGGATCCAGCGGGATCCAGACTTGCGCGGAAAGCGCCGAGCAGCACCCGTGGGAGCAGGGCTTCCTTTGTCACCAGCATGAGGGTGACAGGAAATCGGTAAAAATAACCGGGGGCCCCCATCAGTTTTTTTCTGGCCTGTAACCCAACACCCCAGCCGCTGAGGGCTGCTGAGCACTGGGGACAGGTGACGAGCGGCCGGGCGAGGCAGCTGGCGCAGGGAGCCGAGCGCAGCCCTGGGGCTTTGCACAGCAGCCAGGGGCTGGGAGGGACACAGGGCTGCACTGCCCAGGGTCGCGGCCCGCAGCACCAAGGGGTGCCSGGCACCCCGCAGGAGCTGCCCTTGCCCTAATCTGCCTGGCAACAGGTGACMTGCGTGGTCCCTGTGGCTTCCCCGGAGCCAGTGGGCAGCCCGTGGCTACGGAGCTGTGCGGCAAAGCAAGGTCACGCTGCAATGCTGCAAACCAAGGCCGTGCTGCAATACTGCAAGTCGTGCTGTCTGTGCTGTCGCGCTGCAAACTGAGGCCACGCTGCAACGCTGCAAACCGAGGCCACGCTGCAACTGAGCAAAAATAAGAAAAGGGGGGCAAACAAGAAGGCGCCGCAGAGCCAAACTTACGGTCGTCGGCATGCACGATCTGGAAGTTTTTGACGGAGGCATGAGTGACACGGCCGTGGAAGTTGAGCACGTACGACTGGGTCTCATCGTTCCACACGGGCGCCTTGTTGTGCAGCTCGATGATGTTGTCCATGTTGCGGTTCTGCCACCTCATGAGCAGCCCGTCGTTGTCCTGCCAAAGGCATGAGCCCTGTGGGTGTGAAGAGCCACGCCGAGGCGGGAGACCCGCCGCCCCCAAGTAGCCCTGCTCCGCATGGCACCCCTGGACATACGTTTCGGGGCCGGATGGGCACCCTCTCGTTGTCAGCGTTCATGCCGGGGATAATGACCGTCATCTTGCGGGGTCCCTTGAAGCCCAGCACGTTGGTCTCCTGCATGGAGACACCCCATGGGTGAAAGCAGCTTGGYGCCCCAGGGAGTCACAGCAGGGAGACCCCTGCCCTGGCACCAGCGTTTGGTGGAGGGGGACGCGGTGCTTACATAGACCACGGCCGAGAGCTCCTGCCGCACGTTGGACCAGTCGGCGTTGGCACGGTCGGGGTTGGCCCCGTTGTCAAACACGGTGAACTTGGTGCCCATGAGGTTGGACCTGCAGAGTGGGGGGGACACAGATGGGACCCCAGGGGAGGGTGGTCACCCTGGTCGCTGCTGCCGTCCCCCCTCCCTCACTCGGGGACTCGCTGGATGGGACTTGATTGCTGGGTGCTCTGGG